TTGCCTTTCGCCAGGAGGCTGTGGCGTGTGGTGACCAGCAATAAGCGGACTTGGAACCGCTGGCGGTCTAGGATTCTGGCCGGATGATGGTCGAGATGATATATTGAGCGTAGGGCTAGGCGCGGCTTGAGAGCCGGGAACCAGAGGGAGTGACACCGAGAACGAGCTTGGTGGGTTTCCAGGAAGCGCAACTGACGGTGTCAACAGCGCTGGATGCTCACTGGATTCGATGAGGGAGAATCTTGAGGTGGAATGAAGATTTGTTGATAAAGGAGTCGGGTTGCTCAGATCTGGAACAGCTCTTCCAGCGCCAGCTCCCGAGAAATTTTGCGCAAACAAATTTGCTGGTGTTTCCTGGGCGCGGGCCTCGCCAGTCCAAGCCGTTGTTGCGTTTGAGTTGTTGGCTGCAAAATCAAGCCCGAGCTCTGGACTTTGAAGGCAAGTCTCCCGGGTTTGATGCGAGGTCTGGTTTGAGGTGACTGTGGGAGGACTAGGTTGGTCAGTTGGTGCCGGAGAGGGAAGAGCGGCTGCGCAATCACTGTCGAAGGAAAACGTTAGAGACGGTTGTGGCGTTGTGGGCGAGGGGAAAGACTGCGGGATTCCAGAAGATGAAATAGGGTAGGGGGAGTACGTTATGAGTTGGTTGGATTCAAGCGCAGCCGTCGACTTGTCTTGTAGGTTTTGATGCGGTCGAAGTCGGAAAGCAGACGGCACGACAGTTCCTAGCACAGAGGGGGGATTCGAAGCGTTTGTCGAGGTCTCTTCCCGGGGCGCTTGGGTTGGGACTATCGGGACACCATAAACACCCTGGCGATTTCTTGGCGTCGGTCCCTTATTCGTATGGGGGCCGCGAGATGCTGGTTCATTTTGCGAGGTCATCCATGCTGGACGACGATTTCCTAGCAGAAAGTTGACAGTTTCATTCGAGCGGGCGACCTGCGCTCCTGAGAGGGGCCCTCCAGCTATATCTTGCTGGGCCCTGTGAGGTGACATTTTGTTTTTGGGCGGTCGTTTACGGGGTTTGCGGCGGGAGCGCGGCGGGAGCGAAGGGGAATCTTGAGCGAGACTGGAGTCGGCCATTCTGATTAACGAGGCTGTGGTTTGTCAAGAGAAAGGAAAAGTAAAAGTGTGCGCGTACCATGAGGCCGAAGTCTCAGCTAGCTCTGAAGTGACAGGTCGCCAGCCAACAAAAGTCAGAGTCGAAGTCGGAAGCAGGTTCTGCGTCGATACCTAGGGGAAAGAGCGACCGTCTCAAGTGGAAGGGTGGTGGTTGAACCAAGAGGGAGAGTGCGGTTCGACCCCTCTTGCCTCCAGGACTCTTGCACTTTGAGGTCTCGTCCCGTTTCGGCGAACAGCAATATTCGACACAACGGCAGACGCGACGGCGCAGGTCTCGGGAAGGCGCGCCTCATATATCTCGTAGGGCGAAGTTCATCGGCGGGTTTCGTCGTGACCGAGGTCAAGGTAGGGCGAGTGAGTAGATATGTATGGCAAAGCAACGAGCTCGACTAGGTGTGTCGCAGACGTCCGGCGTGGCGTACTGTTTTCTCCGGTATGCGGCCGAGGAGACCCCCGTCAAGTGGTGGCTATGGACAGCGACGCGCTGCTAGGAAGACAATCGGTGAAACTCGAGGGTGTATTCAAACAAGGTAGCAGTGTAAAAGAGATCTACTTCAGTTGGGTTGGTCTTTCCACAACTGAAGTGACGATCCGACATTCGGGACGGGAAAAACCTCGGCGACGGTGGTGAAAGTTCCGGTTGGGACAAATTGGATGGGAGAAAGTCGATTCTTGCAGGGGACGTGCACCAAAGTTTGGGGGTAACGGCCAGAATTAATGGAATAGGACCGCCCAAATGGATGCTGGAAGATTGGAGTAAATGGAAGAGCCCACTGGAACACTTTGGGATGGGACGACGGGGGAGATGTTTGCCAATTGCCAGGCTAAGGCCGGAGCCGAGATGGTCGTGACCGGGGGTGGCCCTGACGATTGGTGAGGTGGGGATGCGTTAGTCTGAATTCGGCTTGGTACTTGGCTAGTCGCTATTCGACACGATACCCGTCTCGTTCTAGATCGACTTGCGATGGCTTGGATGGCACCGATGACAAGTGCTGGGTGGAGCCACAATCGAGGCATTCATTCATCATAATTGTTCGTTGCGCACCTTGAGGAGTTGAGCACAGTGTCCCCTTCCGCAACGCTTGCGCAAGATATCATGAACTTAGGAGACCATATCGTGCATACCTAATGTATGTTTGTGCGCACGTACTCCAGGCATGGGCATGTCAACACCAGCAGGGAGAGAGGCAAATCATGGAGGCCCACCTACACTCTTTTCTTCACAATGCGGTTTCCCAGCAAACATCCAAAGTTTGAATGTTAACTTAGCTCAGGACTTCCCGGTAGGTGATGGAGTTAGATGATGTGTTAAAGTCATAGAAACCAGATGAAGATGGATCCGGCGACAGAGTCCCCTTGCTTTCGAAAACAAAGAGTAACCCTACAATGGCCCCTGATTCGTCTTTCAAGGATTCAATGGAATATACGCAGTAAATCGAGAGCTAGCTATATATAGAAAGTTCACATCCACGTGCAAATAGGTCACCTGTATTTGAAAGGCGTCCAGGTATACGAATGTTTCTGTTTGCGCTCTGGAAAACCTCCCTTCACACACTCAGAGATAGGAAGGCATGCAACTTGACATCGGACCTCATGGCACACACCCCTTGCTTCCACATTGTTGATGTCTTGTCTCTCACCGTTGACAGTGGCTCAGGGCACTGGGGCGATGGGTATGACAAGAAGCGGCAGTTCTTTGTCTGCTTTGTCACTGTTGCTTCTTCCTGTTTTCCAGAACACAACTCTGTGTAACCAGTCTCATCACAGCTGTTGGGGTTTCTGAGGTATATAACCCACCGATGCCTGTGTGTGACGTTGTGATCATTCTCCTCATCAGCCGAGGGGTATCGATGTATCCAGCCTCGAGCTCCAGAGCCCTATCAAGAGGCTGCGCCATGTTAGAAGTCGATACTGGCAGGACAAACTTCCTGGCCTGTATCCAAACCATTCCCTCACACACGGTCAAGCTCGTACTTACTTTATCAAACAGAAGTAGCCAAAAGCAGGGCAAAGAATTCAAAAGGCGATTCCAGAACGGACACCTAGAACATCTGAGGAAGTGTCGTTCTTCTGTACGCTTGTATCTGATGGCGGCCAGGCCGGGGGACTGCACCGCATGCTTAGTGTACGGACACTTGTCAACTTGTGGAAGCAACTCCGATGGTCCTTCGCTAGCTTCGATTATCGAATTGCTTATTCTGGGGGATTGAGAGTGCAGGTCTGCTATGCAGATGGATTATGTAATGCAGAATCTTTCGTCCTCTTTTGTCGAACTTTGATTCCCCAAGTTCATTCAGTATGGATGGAAAGAGATGGGAAATAGTTGGCACGTGAGTCTGCGCGCCGCCCCAGCCTGCCCTGGCTTGTCAATTTTCCCAGTTGGCCGTGATTCGAGGTGGACGCGCCCGAATGTTAAAAAGCAAGCAGATTAACTGCATTGGCGAAGCGGGCATCACCTTGCCACTCCCACGACGACTGACACAGACAGCCGTCGTGATTGGGCGTGTCTGGGGCCAGCGGTTTGCTCGCGGCTCCGGGCCATCCTTGCTGTGCCGGGGGGGGGGGGGCCAGCCGCTGCACACTCGCTGCAAGATACCCCTCCCGGCCCCCTCCCACTCCCAATCGTCTTGCTGGTGTCCACGAGGAAACGGGGAACGGCAATGCCCTGGTTCCGCTGGGCCTCGTGGCGCGTGTAAAGTCTGGTCTTTTGACGCATGGCGAAATGGCGAAACTTGGTGACGGGCACCGGACGGACCGCCGGTGTGTTGTTCCTTCGGGGTGGATACCAAAAGATAGGGATGCGTGATGACGGCCGTGACTGTCCGTTCGGTTGGCTACGCAATGGGTGAGCTTGGAGCCAAGCATGTCCTAGCGACGGAAGAAACGGGGAACTCGTCAGCATGGCACGGCGACGGGCTATACTGGTCAACGGTAGGTCGTATGACGGTGTTACGGGCTGCCTTTGCACATCGTAAAGGTGTTGGATGTGTTGTGTTGTGGATTGTGGAGGTATGAGAGGCGACGAAAGGGCAAGGAAGCCAAAATGAGCCGGAAGCCGAAACAAAACAAGACCCGTCCGCTTTCCCACAGGTGGAATCTCATAGTAAATTCTGATGATGTGGCCGAGACAGGAATTCGGGATGGTGTCAGATCGTGAAGAACGTCTTCTTCGTGTCAGTGACTTCATTCGCCATCTGCTACTCGCAATAGTGAACTCTAACCACGTCTCCCACGGGTCCGGATGGTCAGGTAGTAAAGATTGCAGTGTGTATGATGCGTGTCCTTCTGCATCGCAAGTTCCAATATCGCGTCTTTTAAGGGACCTGCCCTACTGGGATAGATCTAGCAGGTCCCGTCTGGTTGAGGTGAGATTTGCCGTTCTGGTAAGAACGGATAGGTGGGAAGGAGGGAGGGAGGCCCCGGCCTGGGCCTGCCTTTCCATTCCAGCTCTTTGCCTTCCAGATTGATCACTCGCAGCATTCGCATCATTCGCGCCGTTCAGCGGCATCTTTTGCCTCCCGTCAAGTTTAATCCGCACTTTACTTTTTATTTTAGCTTCTCTAATGTTAGGAAGGCACTCACTGCAATTTGAAGAGAGATCAACCGGGAGTCCTTCTGTGCCTCCACATAGATACTTTAGCTTGAAGGCGCCTCTTCCTGGCCTTTGTGTGTTTCGTTGAAGACCGAGAAGCGGTTCTTTATTCTATATTGCCCGTCCCTTTCAAACTGCGCCTCAGCAGGCAAATTTATCGGGCCCTTCTCTAGTCTCAGCAAATACCTACTACTTTACCTGTGGATGCAAATTTATTATTGTATAACCAGACTCTTCGCTCCTGCTTGACTTTAAGATTGTACCACCTTAGCTCCATCGTCACCATCCATCATCCATTGCTTTTCGTGTTGTTTCTCGGTGTAGAGAACAGCAGCAGCAGCAGCAGCACCGGGTCCCAAATCCATTCCCGCCCGGCCGGATCCAACGAGTACGCAATCGCCTTTGGCGCGCTCTGAACCTTGGTCCGATCATCATCTTCAAGGTGCCGCACCTTGCCTTGAGCACAGAAAGCCACGGCGACTTCAACCAACAGGAACAGGGACGGGTTCACGGACGCTGCTGTCCCTTGCATTGGGCGTCCCGCATCGTCAGCTTCGCTTTCGTCACACGGTCCCCGTATCAGCAAGCCCCCTTCCTTATTTGGGCCTTTTTCCATTCCTTCCTACTACTTGACCTCACCTTATTGTCAGGTTTCCTAGGACACAGGTCTCACGGCTTCAGCTCCAGCCAGTAATCGTCTACTGTCGCCTTAGGCTTCACCTCACCTCACCTCACTCATCCGGGCACTCATCCCATCCATCAGTTGCACCTCGACCAGACCACCACCATCTCGCGGCCCCTTCCTTCCGTCCCAACTCGAAACCCAAGCGTGCGACCCCTTCCTGCCACCTTCTAGTTCCGTGCACTTCACGGCTCACCTTTGCTTCTTCTTTTTTCTTCTTCTTGTTATCCATCCCTGCGGATCGCACATGCTCGACTCTGCCTCAGGAAGGAACAACACCAAGACAGGTCTTTCTTTGCCTCGTATCGCATATTTGCTCTACCGACGACAACGACAATTCGACGTCAATTGGATTAGACATTAGACTTTCGGCCTTCACGGTACGGACTTCTCCTCCCCTCCCCCTTACAACCACATCAAACACCCGTCAGCAACTTACCACCAGCCCACGACTGCCCAGTCGGCCTCACATTGACCAAACCCACCAAACTAACCTCGAGGTCTGCATCTCATTAGGTGGCTTCTCGGGCCAGACCACAAGCCAGCTACTGCAAAGAGGTCTGCGCATACCCTACGCAGCGCAGCGCAGGTGCAGGTGCAGGTGCAGCGGTACAGCGGTACAGCGGACGGCAGAAGGCTTCCATTTGGGATCGCCTCACCACCATCAACTCCAGCTTCGTCTGACCCGTCCTACTCCATCATCCGTCCACTAAAGTCCCCAGCGTCGTCTATGCGCCCTACCTCTACGTCGCAATGACCCAATAGCGGCCCTTTACGCCAATTCTGTGTCCCCCAATCACATCCCACAACACTGCCTTGAGCAACTCCAACCTCGCACCTCAGCTTCCATTGCTTCCCCCGAGCTAGCAACGACCCTTTTTCAACAACTCGCCACTTTTTTTCTTACGCTGTCGGCAGTCAGCTCTTCAGCCCGACGAGACCAGTAACCACACCGAGTGGCCGGCCCAGGAGAGTCCGACACGAGAACGACTAGGAGACCTCATACTCGTGGGAAAGAAACGCCAACCACAACCTTTTGCCCTCGACATATTGACAAGAAAAACAACCTTTTTGGGGGCCATCGTCAACACATCCAACTTTTGCTCCTTCCTGTCTTTCCACCCCGGTCCGCAATCATCTCCCATTCACCACCCTCGCCCTTCTCTCCTCCAATCCGACTTCTCCTCACCATCTTATCCGCCCACCACGGTCACCACCTAATACCTACCTGGTCCCAGCTGCCGAACAACTGACAATCCCTGGCTACTGCCACTCTTTTTTTCGCTTCGCCAGCAGCACGTCTCCACCCCCCTTGTCGTCGTCGCACCCAAGTCAAGTCCAGCCCAGACCAGGCTGCCCAGCCAGCGAACTCATCTCCTATGTATTGATCCCGTTACAACTCATTCTCTTCAGCAAACGCCATCCGCATTTGTCGCGGCGCCTGGCATCGTCGACATCATGGCTCTCCAGAAGCCAGAAGTTGGCGATACCCTCTTGGTCATACGTAAGTTCATATTCCACTCATCCGCTAACAACGCCTGAGCCCACTCGCCCGCCTTGTCCCGCTCCTCGTCACTCGTATTCGCTCGCGTCATGCAGCATCTTCGTCTCCCCGCCCTTGACAGCCCCGGGCTGGGTCTCTCCGCTGTGGAATTCCATCTGACGTCTTTCTCTTCTTGCAGATGACTTTATTGCTCGCAGCTCTGACGAATTGAGCCTAACCAAGGGCGACCGAGTTGAGTTAATAGAACGAGATGACGAGTTTGGAGATGGATGGTTTCTGGGCAAGCACCTCGTCAACGGAAACAGCGGCCTGTTTCCCGAAGGTTCGTCTACATGGCACCCAACCTATGCAAACAACAAGAAGCTCATCATCCATGGTTCAGTCTATACCAGGCCAGCTCCGAAGACAGCACCCGCGAACAACTTCTCGAAACCACTAGCAACGCTGCCCGAAGTGGTGAACGAATCCAAACAAACAAACCCTCCCGACCCGACCGACGACAAGATTACCACCCCCGCCGCTCCACCCACTCCCACGCCACCACCCGAGTCTCCGGCCCCCGTTACTCTACCTCTCAACAACATCAAGCAGGAAACCGCTCCAATCGAGAGTGTGCCGCCAGCCGTGAGTGCGCCGCCCTCCGCGGCCCTCGGCCGTATCAACACGAACCAGGATCATGTACTCAGCGAGACCCTCAACGTTATCGACGAGCATATTACCGATTTGCGCTCTACGCCTAGCAACGGCGCAATGCGTGCCCCTCCCACCGACTCTGGTAGCGAATACAGTGCTCAGCTCGATCATCGAATGTCCTACATCCACGGCGAAGAAACGGACGAAGAAGAGGAGGGCATGCATAGTCGATCCGAGGTGGAGGCATGGACACCGGACCAAGTTGCCGAGTATCTATTCACAGTCGGCGTTGAGAAATCGCACTGCGAAGTATTCCGCGACCAAGAGATTACCGGTGAAGTCTTGCTGGGTATGGACCAGAGTTCCCTCTTCATCAAGGCATTCGAACTGGGTTCTGTTGGTAGGAGACTCAAGACGTGGCAGAAAATCAAGTCTCTGCAAGACGAGTGTAACAACCTAGGTATTACGACGAGAAGGACGACGCAGACATACGGCAGTGATGTGGGTTCGGAAGATGCCAAGCGGTCTAGAAGCCGCGCCGACACCCTGACCAGCTCAATGCCCAGGATGACACCGGTTGACGACAGAGCCATGTCATTTTCAAGCAAGCGCCTTTCCTTTTCGCAAACGCCGAAGTTGGATACAGCATCAATTGTGTCGCCAGTCTCCCCGATTGTCGACAGTCCCACCCGTCCATCTCACATGAAACGACCTTCGGCTGCGTCCGTCAGAGATTTGCACCACTCTCGCAGGCACTCGTCGTCCACCGACTTCCGTTTGACGGGACAACCTATGGCCAGCACCGTGACACCGAAGCTGGCCACGAGTGGAACGTTTCCCCAGACCGATGGCGCTCATAAGAAGCAACCATCATTTGACAGGAACTGGACCCTTGGCAGCGCCTCAAGCCGACCACTTTCTTCTACCGGGCTTCAAGACGTCATGCAACAGTCTGGTCTACACGCTCCCGAGTCCGCCATCGATACCGACCGCGGGTACTTTAGCGGTACTGAAGTCGATGGCCGACGCCGCAACGTGCTTAGGAAGCGCGATAGCACCGCCAGCCACGGCCGAAAGAACAGTTACGCTGAGGAGCAACGGGTGCGTAGTGCTACCGCTATTTCGAGGCACTCAAGATTCGGAAGCGTCGACTCGAACCGTGACAGCGTGGCCTCCCCTGCCGCGCAAAAATACTACGGCATGCAGTCCACCGCCCACAGAAGAACTGCTTCAACAAGCACCACTCAGTCTGCGCGGCCCGTGCCTCCCGTCAAGGACGTTGGAGCACCCAGCGTCACGAAACTTGAAGGCAAGACTCGTGCCTCTCCGGTGCCCGAGTCTCCTGCGGCCCGCCAGGGAATTCACGCTGAGTGGCTTTCCGCTGTTGTGAAGCCCTCGATGAAGGTGGCCGGCTTGCGCGCAATTTCGGATTCAGTCTCGAGCGATCGCAACAAGGTGGCTTCGCCAATCGACCCATCTCTGAAGGACTCGCCTTTACCCTCGCCCGCTAGAACTGGATCGAGTACTCCCTCTGCGGGGCCCAGCTTCGAGCTCGATTCCCCTGATACCGCAAAGAGCCCTAGCACTGCCACCACCGTAGCGAGCAAGGGCAGCAGGAAGAAGGGCAAGAAGGAGACGAGTGCTTACCAACGAGGACTATTGAAGATCAGCCCCGCTGAAGCCGTCAAAGATGCCGACTACAGCGGGTGGATGAGAAAGAAGAGCTCCAACCTCATGACAACATGGAAGCCTCGATTGTTTGTGCTCAAGGGACGCCGACTTTCATACTACTACTCGGAGAATGACGATCAAGAAAAGGGACTCATTGATATCTCTTTCCACCGTGTTCTTCCAGCCGACAATGAACAGCTGACCGGACTCCATGCCAAGCTCACTGGCGCAGGTGCTACCACCGGGCACGACGCCAACGCCTCTGGAGAAAAGGGAGATGATACCATGTTCATCTTTAAGCTTGTTCCACCACGCGCAGGCCTGTCCCGCGCCGTGAACTTCACCAAACCGACTGTTCACTACTTTGCAGTCCCCAATCTCAAGTCAGGAAGACTGTGGATGGCAGCCCTCATGAAGGCTACCATTGACCGAGATGATACCCAGGCGATAACAACGACGTATCAACAAAAGACCATTTCCCTCGCCAAGGCAAGACAGCAGCGACACCGCCCTCCTGCGTTGATGAACCTCGAAGAAGCTCAAGAAGACGAGAGAAGACGAGCACTCGAGGCGAAGAAGAACGCAGACTCCCTCGGAATCACCTTTGGAGAGACCGACAGCGGGGTATCCGGCATGGAGAAGCCAAACTTTCCCAAGGTGGAGAGTGCTGACCCTCGGAAGTTGGCTTTTGAATCGGAGAACAATGGCACGGCCGGAGCACCGCCACAGAGTGCTTAGAGGTGGAACCCTTTTGAGCGTGTTTGCGGCACTTAATCAGTTCCCCTTCCTTCCTTCCTTTCTTGTACGATGGGACCTTTCTATATATACCTTTGTCATGTATGAGGGACACGAATTCCGCATAGGGGCGGCGTATCTGGGATTGCTTGAGGAGAGCCAGAAGATCCAGCAAGGAAGGGCGATGGACCTGGACATACGAGCGAATAATTTTCACAAGAGTGATTCCCTTTGTTTCCTTTTTCACTTTTTTTTACTCTCTTTCTTCCTATGGCTGTCGAGTCGCTCTGTCGAGTCGCTCTGTAGA